CCCCTCCCCGCCCCAAGTGTCATCGGCTCGAAGACTTCCCCCAGTTCGCTGGCAACGCAGCTTCTCAGCACCCCTGCGTTCCCACGACCCCTCTCCAGGCCGCTGTCATGGCCTGTTCACACACGCTCTCCCGCAGGAGACTCGGGGCTCCCCTGGGGCAGGGTCTGCTCTCATCACCCCGGCGCCGGGCGCCCCACCGAGGCCGCCGCGCTCGGTGGAACCTGGCGAGCGACAGCCCGCGTGGGCCCCTTGCGGCTGCACTGGGGGAGCCGCTGCGGAGACCTTGCCCGGGACCCGCGTCCTCTCCGCCGTAACGGCTCGACCCCAAGGGGCCAAGGTCGGCCAAGTTCTCGCCGCCGGCCCTCGGACCCGCAGGCCCGGGCCCGGGTCCCAGAAGGAGCGAGGCCGAAACGAGAAGCCTCTGCTGTAGCACAGCCACCGAAGCTGGGTGACTGAACGAGCAGGTTCTCCCCCCCCCCCGCCCGGGCACTGAGTCCTCCCACCCTCAGCCGAACGAGGCGGACTACACGGGCTCCCGCGAGAACTGGCGCGGAAAGAGGAGCCGCGGTCTCCGCACAGCGCCTGGCACTAGGCCGCACCGACAGTCGGGCTAGGAGACGGCGCTCCCGCCTCCGTAGAGGCACTCGGACCTACTCTCACCTCAGACTCCGGCTGCGGGACTCACTCACCTCACGGCCCCTCCTACCACAGCGGGCCGCCCAGCCTCAACCGCCCTCACTTCCGCTGACTCGCCCCCGGAAGCGATCCATTGCGGCTGCGCACCGGGCGGCGTCCCCGCGCGCCCTCGGAAGGAGGACTGCGGCTTCGGCGGGGGCGGGGCGGCGGGCGGCCTCACGCGGAGATCCCGAGGAAGGGGACACGCCCACTGCCGAGACCACGCCCACGCTGGCCCGGCCCTTGGGAAAAGCTGACGGCGCTTGGAGATCACCGCGGCCTAATTGGCCGCATCCACCGCTGGTCTCCACCTCCTTGCTGCTCTCCTCTGGTAGTCCTGATCCGACCTCTAGCGGCGGAGGTCTACGTCCCTGCCCGGACCCCAGATTGTGTGGCGTCTGCTGTCCCTATGCCTAGGCACACTTAAGACTCCTCCCCCTGGCGTTCCAGGCCCTCCGGACCTACCTCTTGCCTTGCCTCATTTCGTCCTGGTTCGCTTTGCACACGTCTAGCTTCCCCGCCCAGACCCTCTACAGTCTTCTGTCCGGCAAGAAGAGGCCTCTTTCTCCTCTGACTACTGCCCTTCAGCTCGTTGTAGCTGTCTTCTATTTTAGCCTTTATGTATCTCTCTCTCTCTCTCCACACACACACACACACACACACACACACACACACACACGGTAGATTCAGCGAGATAGTAAATCAATGGGCAAGACCCCAGAGGCACTGGGAAGGAGACCCACATTCCTTCCAGGCTCACTCACCCACTCCCTCTTCCCGCTTAAACCCTCTCGGTCCTGGTCCTAGTCCTGGTCTCCATGGCATCCAGGCCTGGGTCACATGCCCTCCTCTGACCTCAGGATATAGCTGTGCCTGGCTCCCAGGCTGCAGTTCTTGGGTGTCAAAGCCTGCAAGTCCCAGCTGCCAGGGACAGGCTGGCTTCACAGGAGGACAGGTTTGGGTAGTCACACGGGCCTCTTGCTCAGAACTCTGTGCTTGCTTTAATGCTCTGCTGTTGTCCTCTTGTATATATATGTGTGTGTATAAAAATATATATATATATATTTGTATATATGTGTATTTATAATTATATATATTATATATACATTTATATATGTGTGTGTATATATGTGTGTGTGTATATACATAAATTAAGCAAGGGGTCCTACAGTTTTCATTTTGCACTGGATCCTGCAAATTATATAGCTGTCCTAGCCAGAGACCTCAGAGTTGTCCATCCTGATCCTTACCATATTTCAAATGATGAGGGTTGACTTCCAGGTCCAGCTTTCTTTCCAGGATGGCAAATTGTTGTTTAATCATTGATTCTCCTTCCTGGTCAATGGCAGATCTTGTGGATCCACCCTAGCTGTGTTTCCTGGGGGTGGTAGACGCTGTCTTGGTGCCCAACCCAGATCACCTCTACCCTGCCAGAGAACCCATCTTCCAGCTGCTGTGTTGGCTTCACACAGCTGCCCCCTTCCCTGGAAAATTGCACTTACAAGAGGGAGCACAGAGGCCCTCACCTGGGAATTTACTCCACCTTCCAAGTCAATGACTGACCGATACAGGGTACAAAAGGTAGATTCTACTCTGTGGTGTGGCTTATGTTCCAGAACCCTTCCCCTATGATCATGCCCAGGCTACGATTTGAGACTCTATCACTGCTTAGCATCTTTCCTTTCCCCCATTCTTCGTCACTCCTTTTTATTTTTTGTAATTAAAAAAAAAATTTAAAGGCTTTTTAAAAAAAGATTTTATTTTTTTAAAGTAACCTTTACACCCAACATGGGGCTCGAACTCCCAACCCTGAGATTGAGTCATATGCTCCTTCAACTGAGCCAGCTAGGTGTCCCTTCTTCACTCCTTCTTATACAGGTTTTTCTTGAAGTGTACTCCCTCAAAAAAAAAAAAAAAAAAAAAATTACCTAATGCCTGCCTTAGGCTCTGCTTCTAAGACAATGGGTAATTAACTTCAGAATCTTTCTCACCAGATTCTAAAAACAGTAGTAAGTTCTACTACTAGGTCTATCACAAACTTAAGAACATCACTTGAGCCCTCTAGTGACAGAAAGATAGTCCCCCAAGGCATTCCAGCCATGCTCCCTTGCCCATCTGCCAAGCCAATCCCACAGAGGAGTCAGACCAAGGATAGAACTGACCAATATCCCATTCAAAGGAAAGGCACTTAGAACCACCCTAGTCTCTCCAATTTTATTACAGGACGTGTGGGTATCAGAGGGAAGGGGCAGACAGGTAACAGGCGGGAGCTGGGGGCCCTCCCCCACCATGAGCTTCAAGGCCCAGTGTGGGGTGGCGGGGGGGTTCAGGAAAAGACTTGAGATGAAGATCAGAAAGCCAAGGCAATCAGTGCCTTACATAAAACAAAGACTGTGCAATGTGGAGTGGGCCCTCCTGTACCAGCACGAGAGGAAGAGCCTGCTGGGTGGCGAGGCTGAGTCTCTGCTGACACTGGGTGGCTCATGGGATTGGTTACTGCCGCCCAGGCCTGGAAGCCCAGAGACAGACTCGGGTGCCCTCCCTCCCTGTAAGGGGCATGGAAGCACTGCCTCCCAGGATGCAACTTGGTTGAGCTGGCTGGCTCATGCCTCCTTTGGTCTGGAGATCAGAGGGGAGTGAGACATTTTGGTCTGAAAGGCTTTCTTTTTCACCTCAGTGCAAATGGGCAGGGGAGAGAGGTGGGGGGCAGTGCAAAACAAAACACTCCAAAATTGAGACAGGCTGAATCTCAGCTCCACCAGTGACCTTGGGCACGTCACTTCACTTCCTTGAGACTCAGTTTCATCAGCAAAATGGGAACAATTACTCTCTGCCTCACAGGTTTGTTGTTGAGGATTAAATGAGAAAATACAAGTAATGTTAACAGAGTGCCCCAGACAGAGAAGGCTCAGTATGGATACTTCAGTGGCAGACAGAACTCAGCGGATGGGAGGCCTGGGAGTGTGTCTGAGGAAATGTCTGCCTTCCTCTTCCAGGTTTAAGAGTGAGCCCCTGTGGGGGCAGGCGTTGGGGAGCAGGTGTGGCTCCAAGGCTTTAATGAAAAAGCCCAAGGATCTCTCATGGTCCTGAGTGGAGGACAAGGATAGGGTTGGGGGTACACTGACCTTTTTTAAAAAGCTGGAAGAAAAGGAAGAGAGGACTATTTCTTCCTGTAGGTGCAGCTGCAAAGACATCAAGCTGGACCCATCTAGGATTTCAGATCCAGCCATCATGGGGCTGCTGCTGGGGGAAGACACTACCCCTTCTTTCTCCTCAGCGTTGGGGTTATCAAAAATACCTACAAACTGTGAGAAGCTTCACATAAAGACACTTTTCTGCATATATAAAAAAGACTGGCTGTGGTCAGTGGCTTGGGACGTAGACCAAGGCCTTAAGAGAGGCCAAGGAGGGTCAATGGCCACTCGGTGGTGGGCTAGCTGGTCTGGGCTGCCCTGACAGCTGGGGCAGCGCCAGCTCTGGGGGAGGCTGTGTTCTTTGGCTGAGGTACACTTCTGTGGAGCTGGGGTCTGTCATCCTACTGTGACCCTTGCTGGGGTAGGCGGTTGGGGGTGCCTTGGCCCTGGGCCTCAGGAACCCCTCAGTGGACTCCCTTGCTAAGAGCAGAAGTCTCCTTCACAGTGAACCTCTCCAGGCAGCTGCCCCCCAGCAAGGCCCAAAATTGGTGCTGGGTGTCCTATCATTAGGTTGGATTGAGTGGTCTGAGAAGCCAAGGTCCTAGGTACAGTGAATTCTCCTTCCGAAGGAGGGCTTTGCCCTGAGCCTCCAAAAGGCTGTCTCCAGCTGAAACTCACCCCACTGGGGGACACCAGGCAGGGGGGGCAGCCAGGAAGGAGGCTCCAAACAAGAGTACTTCCCTGGCAACCCCTCCTTAACTCCCAGTCCAGGGTTTCTTGATGTTTCTTTTGGGAGGGGGTGAATGTAAGGAGAGAGGGGTGGCCCAGTCTTCCTAGCACCACTCCTCCCTGATCTTCACCTCACAAGGACCTGGACTATGTGCCTGAGTGGGTGAGGTCCAGGGAGATGACCCGAGGCCCCATTTTTGGTATCCTGAACAGCTTCCGGAACCATGTGGGTAGTAAAGGGCTAATGGTGGCAGCTGGAGCCAGAGGTTCATCCATCCAGTCAGCCCAGACACCCCCGTCTACCCCCCATTGACCTCAGGCCCCCCCGGGGCAGCCTGGGAGCGGCAGGGGTGGGGGTGCGAGGACCACTGGCTCTGGGCCTGAGGGGCCTGTCCTCAGCACTGGAGGCCCTTCCTTCAGCTCCCCCTGCTCCAGCCGGGCCTCTCACGGCCCGAGGGTACACTAGGGCTGGAGGAGGGGCAGGCCACGCCGAAGGCCCTCCTTCAGGAACTGCATATACGTGGCCGTGGACGGGTCTTCAAAGGTGGATGAGAAGCTGAAGACATTGTTCTCAATATCCTCGGGCTTCATGGAGGTGATATCCAAGAAGTGGTTGGCGTTGATGTGGTGGACCTGGGAGGGGGGCCAGGTGAGGAGAGTGAGCGGGGCCCCCACTGCTCCCGGTCTGCTCATGCCCTCTTGGGAGAAGGGGCCACTCTCAGGCCTCGACTGTCCTCACTCCGAGGCAGATGGCAGACAGGCAGAGCAGAACCCAACCCAGGGCCCGGCCGTTTCCCCTCTCCCGCCTCTGGGCACACAGGGCCCTCTGCCTGCGGAGCTCTCCCACACTCATCTACTGGCCAGAACCTAAGGCCTCTCCGCCTTCCCCTCACCCCCATCCCCCACGGCCCCTCTTCTCCTCTGTTCCTGTGACCCTTGAACTCCACACTGCCAAAATGCCCACCCACTCTGTGTGCCTGCTTCCCTGCTTCCTCTAGCCCTGGTTACTCAGCTCCTTAAGGGCAGGTGCCCATACATGAGCCAAGAAACAAATGGACAAGCGGGAGGGCGCAGTCCCCAGGCCAAGTTTTGTGCACTGGGCTCCGGGATGCCAGGGCCTGCCAGGGCCGGGCCCGCCGTGCTGAGCACCAGTGAGCCAGTGGCCCTCTTCCCAGCCAGCCTCAGCTCTTGCTCCCGCCTTCCTCCTCCACTTGAGAGCCTGGGGAAGCTGACGACCCTCCCACGATCTTCAGTCCCACACTAAACCATCCCTCGGGACTCAAAGGGTAAGGGGCAGGAGATTCTGAGGCTCACATGCAGGCTGCACTTCTTAATTGTGTAACTCTCACCAAGTCTCTGGACCTTTTTGAGCCTCAGTTTCCTTGTTTGTAAAATGGGCACTTGTCATTGTCCCTCTCCCAAAGACGTGTGAGACCCCCGTGAGAGGCTGGCTGCGTGTGAGTACTTATAGGGGCCCCCGGGGAGAGATAGGATCTTGCAGCTTGGCTCGGCCTGGGGCCCCCTGGTCCTCTCTGCTTGTCACGAGGCCCGGCCCCTCCTTCCGCCTTCCCTGCCAGAGCTGGCCACAGTGGTCCAGGGTGAGCTTTCCCTTCCAGGCCACATTCCTGTCCATTCCCCGAAGTGCTGTCCAGGTCCCCCTTCTCGTGGGAGTGTCCCCACCCCTGCTCGAGGCAGGCAGGGTGGGTGTGACAATTCCTATTTTATAGAGGGGGACCAGTGAGGTTCAGACTGACTGGGAGAGCAGCAGGAAGTGGCGGAGCCAGCCCCGAAGCCTGATGAGGTCTCTGAGTGTGCGCCCCTTGCTTGCTGCTTCCTCTGCCCCGAGCTGCCTGGCCCAACTGGGGGAAGGCGTGGGGGGCTGCCTACCACAGTGCCGTTGGGCAGACAAATCATCATCTCCACGGGGAAGCTGTACTTCTCCAGGTGCAGGTCAGCTAGCTTCTTGTGGGACGGGTTCTCCTGGTCATTCTGTGGGGACACGTGTCCCGATGCCTCAGCCATTGGCCCCGTCCCCGGGGCTCCCACGGGGCTGTTCCCACCCACCTGCCACTCACCTGCAGGTCTTCCAGCTCCCTCACCAGGGACCAAGTGCTGATGAAGCTCTCATTGAGGAGGGCGATGATGGGCGAACTTTCCAGGACAGTCTCCCGGAGAGTCCGCCCCGAACCTGTTCAGGAAACAGCAAGGCCGGAAGGGTGAGGCACCCCCACATGTCTTGCTGGGTTCTCTATCAGCAATAAACCTCCTGGGCTGTAGAGCCGTCTGTGCACCCCAGTAAGAACAGATTCAAAGAGCCTGCCACAGAGTAGGTGCTGAGTAGAGGATCGCTGTAATTCCAGTCAGTGACATTGTGGCGTCCTGGGCTGAGAGGAGGCGGGGGGGGGGGGGGGGGGGGGGAGGAGGGAGACACACAGATGGACGACAACCTCGGCCCAGGGACCTGCAGATAGTGCCAGCTTCTTTTTTTTTTTTTTTTTTTTAAATATTTATTTATTAGAGAGAGAGTACATGAGAGGGGGGAGGGTCAGAGGGAGAATAGTGCCAGCTTCTTAAATCCACTAAACTCTAGAGCCCAGGGCCTTTGCACAGATTATTCTACCTAAAACACTTTTCCTCCTGCCACTTGATAAACTTCTCCTCCTCCTCCAAAGTCTCAGCTTACGATCCCTATCTCTGAGAAGCCTCCCCCGAGCCCCGGTTAGTCTTGTGCCACCCCGCACCATGCCCTGTGTGCCGCTCACCACGCTTGTCTTCATTCGACACGCGCCTTCTACACACACTGCGCTCCCCGAGCACGGGGACCGCTTCTGACCAGACTCCCAGCACCCAGCCTACAGGCTTGGTGCAGGCGGTGCCTGGGGTATTCGTGGATTGACTGGATGAGGGCAGGGGCACGGTCTTACCCATCTTTGTTCCCGCTGTCAGACACCCTAAATCTCTGTGTCCGGTAGGTCTTGGGTGAATCTTCCGAATACGTGAACGCATGGCCAGCCTCTGGCACTACTTTCTCTCTTACTTGTGTGCAACCCTTCACGGAGCACAGACACACACCCATTTTCACAACTCTGCGGGGTAAGTGTGTTCCCCCTCTTTCACGGTCGAGAAAACTAAGGCTCAAGGAGGGGAAGTCACGTGGCCAAGGTCTCCACGCTGAAAATGGTTGAGCTGGGCTCTTCCTACTGTGAACACCAGCTTCATCTGAGCTCAGTGCAGAACTCCCCCGGGCTCTTACTCCACATCCCTGCCCTGTGTGGTCCCCAAGCCCCGCCCCCCATGCCCCAACAGGACAGTCCTGTTGGTCTCAGAGCCTCCTGCACCCCACGAGGTGTGACTTGTCCCCCCATTCTCTCAGCCTGGTGGGGTCTCCCTCACCTCAGCAGGACTGGTCATCCAGGGCCCCCCACAGCAGAATTGAGTGCACCAGCTTGTTCTTGGCCTTGGCGTGGTCGAAGGCCTCGATGAATGGCAGATAGGTGACCTGGGGCCAAGGGGTGACACAGAGAAGCTACTGTGTGCGGCTAGGGTCCTACTCAGGAGGTGTGGACAATGCATGTGTACGTGTGTGTTTGTACCGTGAGTGTGTAACTGTGCGTGCATGCATATGCATGTGTGTGAGGAGAGAGAGAGAGAGGAAGGGTACTGCTGGGCCGGGGGATGCCTCCTGCCAAGTTCTGAATGGCAAAAGAGAGGCCCCACTGGTACGGGCAGGGCCGGGCAGGGAGGTGGCCTCAGCAGCAAGCCCTGTACCCAGCCTGGAATCAAGTGCCAGCCCCGCCCTGCCCCGCACTGCTCCCCCGGCCCCGGCCCTCACTCCCGTCTAGCCCCACCTTCTTGAAGGGGTACATGGCCACCTCCAGGCGCCGGGCGGCCTCCTCCCAGCTCAGCTCCTGCTGCCACTTGATCTCCTCAAACACAAACTGGAGGGGCTCCCCTGAGGGCGGACGGCTGTTGATCATGTTGCCATCCTCATCCAGGATCATGGAGGGGACCGATGGGCCCAGGGCCTCCAGCTCCATCTGGGCCAGAGATTAGGAGGGGATGACATCAGTGAGGGTGTCTCAGCGATGGGCAAGAATCCTTGAGAGACCCTCAAAGATCCCCCTACTCAAGGAAGAGGTGAAGGAACTGAGGCCCCGGGGAAGGACAGGGCTGGGTCAGGGCTGGGGTGAGTCTGGGACAGAGCCAGGGTCCATCCAGGGCTCCTTCTACCACGTGAAGCCGTCTGAGGGCCAATGGCAACTGTTAGGTTTTCTGTGCAAGATCAGGTGGTTTCCCAGAATCCTGCTTTGGGGACAGCTGGCCTCAGCCCACCGGAAGCTCTGGCCTTCACCCGGACTGCCTGCGGCACCCAGCCCTGCAGACCTGGGTCGGGACCCCTTGTGTGCTCACCTGGGGGATGTAGCCAATGTCCACCTCCATGTTGCTGCTCTCACCAGCCCCGTACAGCCACTCCATGTCCACGTTCAGAGACCTGGCGACAAGGAGAGGGGGCCAGGGCAGAACACCCCCGTCACCAAGGCCCATGTCAAGCTTTCTCTCTCTGAGAGCACACAAGCCTCCCCATTTTACAGATGAGAACACCGGGGCTTGACAAGGTGACCCCGAGGTCTTAGGGCCACTGGGATTCTGCCCGCAGAGCCTGGGCCCTCTTCTGTCCCTGGGCCGCCGCTTTGGGAGGTGCTGCAACCACACCACGCTCGACTGGCCCAGCCCCTTCCAGTTCACAAAGGGCTTTCCCAACCATGTCTCACATGCTGCCCACGGCTCTTTGAGGCAGAAAGATCATCAGTGCCTCCCTCAGGACGCGGAGAGGGGAAGCCGTGAAAGCCCGGCGCCCACCTCCCTGAGTTGCCAGCACCCCCCCCGCCCCCCAGCTGGAAGTGTGGCCCCACCACAGGCCACCTGCACATCGGCCACATGAGGGAGCCCTAGGACCGACAACTAACCTCCTCAGGCAGGCGGGGGGTGGGGGGGGTGGCGCCTGAGGAGCTGGGCAACCCCGGGCCTGGTTCCAAGACACAGGCTCAGGAGCAGCCGGTCTTGGGGCTGGTCATTTGCCCCTGCCCTGTTTCACCCAACCCAGGACCTCCACCTCCAACCCTGGGGTGGAGGCAAACGTGCTCTGGGCTAAGCCTGTGCATTTGGGGGGGTGCGGCTTGCTTGCTGAGGGGAGGGAGAAACCACTCCTGCTCCTGGGTAGTGGTTTCTCTTCCCAGGCTCTCCCAGCCATCCCTTCACGCATGCCCAGGAGCCACCCCCCGCCCCATGTAGCTGATGAGGAAACAGGCCCAGAGACAGCCAGGGCCTTGCCCTGGGCCATGCAGCCCACTGATGCCACAGTGGAGACTTAACTCTGGGGCTCCCAGCTCCCAGCCAAGGTCTTGTCCCTGTCCTGGGTCACTCAGACCCACTAAGCAGCCACTTGCTATCAGGGAGGAATCTGGAAAGACTCGAAGCTGGGCCTTCTGGTCCCACGCTCCCCTGACAAGAGGCTGACACTGAGCAGGCTGGGCAGGCAGGCAGGCGGCCGGCATGGAGTCCTCCCGAAAGGCCCCTTCCCCCCACCCCCCCCCCCCGGGCCTATGGTAGCAACTGCAGGCAGTGGAGGGCCTGCCCCCAGGACTACATGTGCAGGCTGTGGTCATGGGTCTGTGGGAGGTCTGTCAGCAGAATGAGGGTGTTAGGCTCCAGCTTTGGGGAAGGTTTGCTGCAGTGGGTCCCAGGCACAGTGTTGGTGGTCCAGGCCAACTGGGATATGGTTGCCAGACGATGGAATGACCCACCTCCGCTCACCTCAAGCTGCCTGCTCCTGGGTCAGCTCCAGGCCCCTTCCAAGAGAAGTGGCTCTGGGGAGCGAAGGAGGGAGAGAGACGGAAGGGGCCTCTGGGCCCCTGTACCCGAGCTCCTGGAGCTGGGGGGTGGAGTGGGGCCAACTATAACGGGGTGCAGGGCTGGGCCGGGGCCAAGGCTCCCACCTGTGGTTGGGCACGAAGAGCCGGAAGTCTCGGATGTGAGTGGCATCTTTGGAGAGGATGATGTGGCCGGTGAACTGGCCAGGTGAGAACCAGAAGGGGAAGTCAGGCGGCTCGCTGAGCTGGAACTCGGCGTGGATCCTGGGGGAGCGGGGGGCGGGGAAGCAGCCTGGCTGGGAGCAGCCCCCTGCTGAGCCACGGCCCACCCTGCTGCTTTTGTGTCAAAGCTGGGGAGCCCTTGGCCAGACTCTCATGGGGAGGACAGGGCTGGGCAGGGGACGAAGGAGAACGTGTGGGGCAGGGAGAGGACACGAAGCTCTCCAAGCGCTGCCCATCCTCAGGGCCGGGCCTGGCCTGACCAGCCTTCCTCTGAGCCCTCACAGCCTCTGCAGGGTGTGTCTGAGCTGGTGTCATAGCTCCTACGCGCCCCCTTCTGGGTGGATAACGGTCAGCCACCAGCCTCATGCTAAGCATGCCCCATACTTTCCCCGCGCTCCCAGGAGGAAGTCACCACCCCCCCAACCCACAGATGAGGAAACTGAGGCCCAGAGAGCCAACACTGCTTGCCCAAAACCAGAGGGTGGTACGTGGTGGCACTGGGGGCTTCCGGGCAGGCCCTGCCCTCACGGCGCCGGTCCCTTCCATGCTTCCCGGGGCTCCCCGGCCCAGCTGAGAGGCCAGGGAGGGTGTCTGAGGACTACACACCGGAACATCACAGTGTAGTAGAAATCGCTGATGGCCGTCAGGCAGGCGACAGCCCCCTGAGGGGCAAAGCGGGTCTTCACGAAGGGCCGAGGGTGGAACATGCTCAGGAGCCGGTGGATGATGACCTGGGGGGAAGGCAGTGAAGACCCGTGCTGGCTTGTTGGGCCCTGATCCCCTAGGTGAGCGTCTGTTCTGGGCCTGCAGGTGGGGGGCGCGGGAGGGGGTTGGGGGTCCGGGTGCAGAGCAGACGCAGAGGGGGCCATGCCTGGGCTGGGGCTGGGGCTCACTATGGGGCCCTCACCTCTTTGCCCTTGGGTGGTGGTGGGTAGAAGCGGTTGTTGGACAGATAGCCGGTGAAGACGCTCAGCTCACTGGGGATGATCCACCAGGGCTCGCCCAGCTCCACCCGGCCCCGAGGAGGAAGGAAGGGCCGGAAGTGGCGGGCAGCGAACACCGCACTTGGCGAGGCTGCCGTTGTCCAGTTGCGGAGGCCGGACAGGGCCAGGCGGGAGACCTGGGGCGGGGGGAGAGCCGGAGCTCTAGGGCGCTGAGAACCACGACGTGGGCGTTCCACGCAGGCCCGGAGGTCTCCCTTGAGCCCTGAGCCGGCCCACAAGCGAAGGGAGTGGCAGGACCCAGGGTGTGCTTTGTCCTGGGGACAGCCAGAGGCCTGGCAGGCACTATCTTGCCAGAGCTGAGGCTCACCTCACCTCCCCGGCCCCCAGCAGCACCCTGTTGGCCCGCTCAGGGGCAGCCCAGGCCAGAGCTGGCAGGGCCAGTTAGGGCTGGCGGGGGGCCGAGTGGTGGGGGGAGCTCTGTGCAGGGGTTCTGCCGGCCTCTTCGCCAAGCCCAGGCCTCACAGACACATGGTCCTGCCTCCCTCCTCTGCACCAGCTCGCAATCCTGAGAGCCACCACCTGCCACCCCCTTCACCAGCCTTGCCTTCTCCCTGACCTTCTCTCCAAGTCTCCCCCTGGGGCTAACGTCCCACGGAGGGGGCCGAGGCTTTGGAGAGAAGTCTGAGGAGAAAGGTGGTAACCACCTTTTGGGGGAAATCTCGGGGGTAAAGAGCAAGATGCGACCACAGAGAAGGGGAAGGAAGGTCACCCCCAGAGAGCGCCCCCTTCTAGAGTCGCCTGTACCACGCTGGCCAGGCACCTGGCATGCCCGGCGTCCCTCAGCTGTTTCCCCGTCAGTAAGGCCCCATCTCTGTCAGGAGAGCTGACATGCGGGACAGAATGAGGGTCAGACTGTGCGGGCCTGTCTGTCTGCACGTCTGGAGCACCGAGGCAGGACCCGGGGCATGTCCTGGGGTAAAAGCTGCCCCTTGGGCAGCCCCTCCCTGCCCCTCTGCGCCACAGGCAGGAGTCCCACGAGGCATCCACCACGAGGACAGCACGTGCCTGGCCCCTTCGGGGGGCGCTCCGCCACCAGGGAGCTGCCAGGTCTTCGCTGGCATCAGGCTCCCTCCCCTTCCCTGCCTCCACGGTGGTAGGGGGGCCAGGCTCACTGGGAGGAGAGAGGTTCTTGGAGCTACCCCCCAAGGAGACCGAGCAGGCAGTTCTCTAAGCAGGGCTGGATGTGCTGCGCCAGGTGGAGCCGCCTGACCGCGGGGTCCTGCCCACGGGCTGGCCACCCCCGCAGGGGAGCTGCCCGCGAAGGGGGGCTGCGCTCTGTGGGGCGCTGCTCCTGACCCATCTTCCCACCAAGTGCAGCTGCGCCCTGGCACCCCGCCAGCTCCCGCCCTGTTCTCACTGCTCTGCGGGGGACTCATCTAATTTGGACAACTTCAGCCACCAACTCTCCCTGCCAACCTTCCCTCCCCAGGTCTTCTGTGGGAGGCCAAACCTGTGTTTCCAAACTCACTTACTGGACTGTCCCCCTGGACATCCGCAGGCGCCTTGACTTCAATGTGTCCAGACTGACCTCATTCGCTCCTCACCAGACCCATTCCCTCCCCTGGTCCCCATGGGGCAAATGGCCCACCAAGAATGGGGCTTTTCGTCTCCTGTTTCTCCCCAGCCTGCTGAGCATCTGCCGAGGGAACCCTCGCATTTCAAAATCTGCTATGGTAATTCACTGCTGCAATCTGCTATGGTAATTCACTGCTGCAGAATGAAGGCCAAAGTCAGGCGACCGAGGCCCTCTGCAGTCTGGCGACTTCTCTTCCAGCCCCACTGGCCGGGATGCCCCTGCCTGTGTCCCATGTGCTCCGGGTCCAGCCACACCAGCTCTCTGTCTGCAGGTGGCTGGCCCAGCACTTCCTGCCTTCAGACCTTTGTTCATGCTGCGGTGGCCTTTCAGGGGAGACCGAAAGGCTGAGTCTCTGTGGGCTGGGCAAAGAGGAAAAGTTGCTCCTGGCAGAGGGAACAGCATCCGAGAAGGCTCACAGCGGGAAGAAAGCCTGGACATCTGGAGTGGCTGGAACAGAGCAAGCTGAGGGGGAAGGGCGGGGAAGACAGGCAGGGTGTGGGGATGCCTCAGGGCCAGGACGGGCTTGCGACCTTGGCCCACGGGCCTCAGGGCGGGGCAGGGCTGCTCAGGACAGCATTTGTCAGGCACCCTTCCCCCCCCATGGCCCCCTGCCGGGGCTGAACCTCAGGTCTGGTTCATCAGAGTGCAGCAGAGCACCAGTCAGGTGCCAGGGGCCTGAGGAAGCGCAGAGGCATGAGTCGCAGGCCTTGCCCTCAAGAAACTCACAGCGTAGGGGCGGGGGGAGACCGACGTGCAGAAAGTAATGAGCTGGTTCCAGTGCCCGTGCTGCCTCCTCTGCCCGGGTCCTTCCATCCTTCCATTCCCCCCCCAACCCCCGCCACTGGCTCAGCCCCCTCCTCCTGCAGTCTCTGTCTGACGGCACTGCCTCTAGGAAGCCAGTCCAGATCCCGTCTGGATTACGAGCTCATGCTTACCCCTCCTGCACCACACTGTGTCCTAAACAACAAATGGGTGGCATCGCACCCACTTCTGGACCCCCCCAGGGCCTGGCACATTGGGGGCACAGGGGGCAGCTAATAAAGGAAGGAAGAAAAAACGGAAAGCGAAACAAGAGCACAGACCTATTCTCGGGGGTAAGTGTGTGCAGACAATCCTGTATCTGTGGTCCTACCTGGGGGCAGACTCCACTGCCCCCCACTCAAACTCACCCCCAGGAACCCGTCTTTGCTCTTGGTCATGGACTCCGGGCGCAGAGGCTGGAATCGGGCTTCTATGGTGAGCGTCTCCTCACTGGGGTCGAGGGCCAGTTCCGCCTCCTCGTAGCCGCCCGCAGGAGCGGACCCTAGGAGACACACAGTTGCTGGAGAGTGGCCTGCCCTCCGGCTGCAGGGCCTCTCTTCTTTGCGGATGTCTGTCCACCCCCTTCTCTCCCCACACAGGAAGGTGATTTAAGGGGGCCAGGCTTAGAGCTGGAGTAAGAGTTAACAATTCCCAAGGTAACAACCAATAAGTATCTCATTTTAGTTTCACAGTAGTCTGGCGAGGCCGATAATAACATTATTACTAATTCCACTTTACACATGAAAAAGTGGAAGCTCAGAAAGGTGAAGTCACTTCTCGAAGGTCACACAGCTAGGTCGTGGGGGAGTCAGGATTCAAACCCAGGCCTGTTTTACTCTAAACCCACAATCAACCATGACCCTCTTCTGAGGGCACTATGATCTCAGAGACTCTGTTTCCTTCAAGGCTCAGGAACCAGATGACCCGCGTTCAAATCCCCCGCCTCACCAGCTGTGTGATTTGGCCAGTGGCTTGTTAGGAGGATTGGATGAGAGAATCCACGTGGTGTTAGCACCAGGTTTGGTACAGAGTGAACCCGTAATAAACTTTAGCTGTATTACTACTACCAGAGGATTCAGGGTCGGGGAGCCACGGAGCGAGGGCTCAAACCGAATTCTCCTGACTCCACCCTGTGCTCTTTCCACCCGGCCAGGCTGGCTGGTTGTCCGGCTTCCCTTTGTTCTGTGAACTGAGTCTGAGATGCACTTGGTGCTGGGCCCACCAAAGGCAGCATCTGGGCAGGCAGCTGCCTCTCCCAGTGGCTGGGGTCCCAGCACCAAAGAGAAGCTACTGCCTGGGGCATGCAGAAGAGAACAGGGGCTGGGCCACATCAGCCCGGCTCCGGGCTGAGGTCAGTTCCATTTCCTGGACCATTGGGGGCAAATCACTCAGCCCCTCTGGTTTTCCTACATGGGCAATCGAGGCCATGCTGCCCTGAGTGTCCCCGTCCTGGGGGCCTCTTGAAATGAACGCTTGTCAGAGAGCCACTGAGAAGAACGAATGAAAGCGAGAAACAGGACCGTCTTTGACACCATCTTTGGTATCATTAAGCTCTGAGATAGATTGCAATGTCCTCCAGAATGCCAGTTTGGAAGAGAGGAGACTCGCTTCTCCCCGATTTTCTGGATGGTCCTGTTTCCTCATCTGTCTAAGGAGGGGCTGGAGTGGCAGTGGCTGAACTTGATTTTGATTTCTCAGGTCTTTTCCTGCCTGAGGTATGCCCAGTTTTGAGACCTTTCAAGTGTGGAGGGAGTCATGATGAAGATTGAGGGAGAAATGAAGCCTATTTCAAAAAGGGTGACTGACGGAAGGGAGCGCCCTAGACACCTCTCAGGGGTAAGGCAGTGGCATTGCTCGCCATGGTGCTGTCCCCGGGCAGGTTCATGGGACAGAGATGATGCTTGGCATCTGCTGGCGAATTGACTGACAGGCCAACTGGAAGCACTGGAAGCAATTCCTAAACAGGAATCATCAGAATCATTTGGGATGCCTTTCTAAACTGCGTATGTCCAGAATCCTCCGCAAACCTACTGAGTCAGAATCCTCAGGGGCTAGAATCAGGAAGCTGCCCTTTTAATCAGCATCAGCTTCTGATGTAAAGCCCTGTTCTGAAGAATCACGGTTATTTCTGCATTTGTAAGCCAATGTAGCAAAACTTTCCAAAGAGCAATCTGGAAACCTCAGAGAAAGGGAACAGCTGGAATGTGCAAGCCTATTCGTCTACCTTGCTTTTTCAAGTATTTTACTCTTATCACAGATCATTATTAATACCACTGTCCAGCACGTTATGGCCTTTCAGTTTCTTTCATAAAAAGTTTTATTGCCTGACTTATAAGTAACTCATTAGAGACAATTCGTAAAACTTTTAAGGTATAAAAAAAATTAAATACACTCATTACTGAACCAACTAGACAGACGGCTTCTGGTGCCTGCATAGATTTGATGTTTTGGGCTTTATTTTATGTTTTCTTTTCCCAAAATTTGGTCCAGTTTTGCACTCCCAGCAGCCCAGGTGTTAAGGGAGGAGAAAAAGATTTATGTGTAAAAAATTACAAGTGTCCTCGAGCCCAGCAAGCTTGTCCAACGTGTCATTATGAGGGAACTCACTGTCTCTGTCCATAAAAAAGGACAAGGAGGTGGCTGGGTGGATGATCTGAGGAGTGTTTGCAGAATAAGAGGTCAAGGCCAATCCACATGAGGCTGAACTGTTTACCAGCCCATCTGCCTTCACCGCAGAACTGAATGCCACTGAGAGACACGGACCCACATCTGCTCCAGCAAATTCACATTTTTCATCTGACCCTCCTTCTCTGGCAGGGACTGTGGTCACCAGACCAGCAAGTGGCCGACCTACTCGACCCCGCCTGAGGCACGGAAGGCCCGTCACTGGCCCCTGGCGCTCACTCACCCAAGGGCAGCTGATGTCTCTCTTCCTTGCCTTTCCCAGCTATTGACCTACTTACACCCAGCTATTTGGATAACTAGATCCCAGGTTCAAGAGATGTCACAAGACGTTGGAGAGAAACGGACACAGAGGTTGGGGTGCTGGTGAGACCGTGAGAGAAGCATTTCATAATTCATTAGAATATTCCAGCACCTCATCTTTATTAAAAAAAAAAAAAGTCACTGATTACAAGTAGGTAAAAATGGATCGCCAGGACAGGCTAGGAATCTGACAGCACCTAAGCAGAGCTTAATCATTAGTAATACTGGTAAGAGCTCCTGTCTACTGAAAGCTACTGTCTACTGGTCACTCTGCAGACATTCTCGCTAATCCTCAAACCTGGGAACCGGTGTGGGGCCTGGAGCCGGATGGCCCCCGTTCTAATCCTGGCTCTGTACCTCCCTGTGCCTCATCTCCCTCTCCAGGCGGCCCTCCTGCTAGGAGCAGGCTCAGTGGTCAAGAAGCTGAGGGCCATGACGCACATGCCCCCCTCCCCAGGCCCCAGGCTCTCCTGGTACCTGTCAGCTTCTCAGCAATGGGCTTGAACTCCTCGGGGCTGATGTACATATCCCGGTCTGTGTCCAAGGAGGAAAAGAGAAAGAGACCTTCTGTCCCCAGGGCCTTCAGCGCCGACTCCTGCTTGGGAGGAAGGGGCTCCATTAAGCACCATTTGGATACCCAGCTGGGGGTCCTCAACAGGCAGAGGGGGCAGCTCCCAGCACCATCTTCCTGAGTTCTCACAACACTTCCCAGTCCACCCACCCAGATGTCCCCTCTGTACCATCCCGGAGCCCCAGTCCCCACGCGGTCCCTGCTGGGCCCTGCTTCACTCTGCTCCTTCATCCACTACCCACTAAGCCCAAGGCTGTCCTGGTCTCCGACCTGGTCCCGTCCCCATGTCACATTCTTTCACCAGTGTCCTCTCCTGTCCCCCCAGCACTGTCCCAGCACTCCCCGGGGCCACCACCAGACTCTCCTGGGTCCCAGCTTCACTCCCACTGTCCAAGCCACCGGTCTGTCCCCGGGCCTGCCTCACACTGGGCCAGTGTTCTGGCCTCCCAGCACAGTCCTCCCAAGTCCGCTCCACCCGCCACCCCCACCCTTTTCCCTCCCTTTCATGCCACCCTCCGCGGCCCACCGGTCCCGACCTTCCATCGCGCCCCT